GAGCAACAGGCACCAGGCCCCGCCAAGTAGTCACCGGGAGTGAGCTGGTACATACCTCAGCGCTCAGCCTCGGAGACCAAGAACCACCAACGCACCGACCCCTGAGGGCATCAGTTACCGGCAGGGAGTGTGGTGAGGGGAGATAGGCCTTTGGAGGGTCTAGGAGTACCCAGACACACACACAGACACAAACATGTATTCCCACCCTCATGCACACATATACAAATACTCAGCACTCACCTAACGTAGGGATAGACATACATGGACACTGTACACACAATCACACTCCCCAAACAAACTCTATACTCCAGGTCCAGGTTCCCTCGCCCCTGGAGGGGGAAGCGGCACCTAGACCCAGGAGATGTTACCCTTTCCCCCGGGGTGGAGGCAAGCGGACCGCCCAAGGCTCCGCAGCAGCAAGGAGGCCCCGCATCCCAGATCCCAATCAGACGGCCAACACCTCTATTGTTAAATGTATTAATGTAATGTTTTCTGACTTACTTGACCCCCTTTTAGTTAACTTTTACTTACCATATACTTAATGCTGTGGCGTTAATAAAGTTTTGAAGAAAAAAAATGTTTACATCCCCCTACAGGAGCACGCGCTCAACTCAACTCTTTCTCCTATTGGCTGTTCTGATATGTAGCTCCACCCACCGCCATACATACATTTAACTCATAGAAAAAGAGAAAAGAAACCAGTTTGATGCTGGCGGGGGGTTTTTTTCACGTTTTTCTGAAACAGTAAAATCTGAACTGTGTTTAACTGTAATGCAGAAAAATTCTCACTTATATCGTAATGCTTTATATATTTTATTTTATTATTTTATTCAGTAGTTTATTCTACTTCCAGTGGTTAGGCGTTTGACGCTAAAGCAGTGTGAATTTAAACGTAAGGTAAACAGTTGCAAGTAGTCAACTTTGTTTTAAATGTTTTAATTAAAAAACACGATGGCTCCGCTTGGGAGTATTTATAGGCATGCGCAACATGCACGTGTCGTAAACGTACGCGCAATGGCATCAGAGGCAGGTGAAGCGACGATGGTAAGTTTGCAGCTGTGACTACAAAGGATAAAGTAGTTCCGCTCTTTGCGGTTCATTTGCACCGCTCACTTGTTTCTGTAACCTTCGCACGCCGCGGTAGAACCAAAGGACATACTTAAAGTAACTCGTTATTTTTATTTAACTTTATTTTTAAGCAAGTGATTTTGGCTATTCTCACCCTTGCTCTTCGACCCACAAACCTCACTTTGGTTGAGTGACGTTTAAAAACAAGTGAGCAAAGTTTGCATCCTTGAATTTTAAATGGCAGCTTTCGATGAAGTGCACACTGATTGGATTAATGTCATGAAGCACAACAGATAAATTAACACCTGAACATGGGATAGAGTGTGGTTTAGGGTTCAATTCAAAGCACCTGGTCAATTATCCTGTGTAAACCTCTTAAGCCCCCCTCATTTATTTAAATTTTTTAACAACGTTTTGCAAATATGCATGGTAATACAGTATATGCAAAAGGAAAACACTTCTGGCCCGTTTGAAAGTTAATACTTGGAAGTCTTCATTCTTCAAGACAGCCTGAATTCTCTTGCGCAAGTTTTCCTTTAAGTTCTTCAAGTAGTCTTCAGGGATGGTTCTCCAGGCTTCTTGAAGAACATTCAAAGCGCTTCTTTGGATGCCAGCTTCTTTTTGTTCTCTTCTCTATCAAGATGTTTCCGATCACTGTCATGCTGAAAAGTCATTCGACTCAGACGCCTTGCATATGATATTGAACGGTGGATAAAAATCTGATTCCTTTTAATTTTGCCAAGATCCCAAACACCAAAGTCTGAAATTCAGCCCCAAGCCATGATGGAGTTTTAAGGATGGCTGTAGATGCACTGTTGCCACTGATGTTAACTCTATGGATCAGCTAAAGGTAAAGCTGCACCTGTCAGGTTTTTGCTGGATTTTGTTTTTCCCAACTCATTTTATTTAGGCCTGCCACTTTATTTGTCCTCCACTTGGACACACTTGCTGCATGGGAAGTTGTGGTTTAACAGACATTCCACTGAAAATGGTCAGGAACTAGAATGAAAATGAGAAACACCCAGTTTCCAAGGAAAAGCTTCGAACTACTGCTCAAGACAAGTTGAGCAAGACAAAAAAATCAGAAGACTGAGTCATTGGAAGCATAATGCAAAGAAAAGGATTGCTCGAGGCTTTTAAACAGTGCTTTGTTATAGATACAATGTTACTGCTGAGGCTTTCTGTTGCTGCATGATAGTACATTTCTGGATGTTTTCTTTGTTCAACATCCTGTGGTCAGAAATGAAACAACCTTTAAGCTGCAAGTCTGGAGCCTGCTGGAGTATGGTCCATGATTAAAATGCTGATGATATATGTATTTAACTTGTATCAAAAAATAAAAGCATTGTTTTGTAGTGTAAGGCAGGTGGAGCCTCTTGTGGACAATATCTGCCATTTTACCTCTGAAGGTCAACTACCTTTGTTTGCCATTGCGACTGACATTATTTCATCTCTTCTTCAGATGTCACTGGAAGAATCCATGGCACGACGGTATGACTACTTTAGAGGATATGCGTTATTATTGTATTTTGAGGTCATGGTGTGATTGGACTGTCGGACTGTACTGAGTTCAGTTTTGTGTCTTTGCAGTCGTCGCCTAAAGAGAAGAGAGAGGGAGACTTCATGGCTGGCACGAAAAGTAAGAGACAAATCATTTGAAAGCATGGTTGTGACTTTAAGTAGCATAAAACGGTTCTCTACAGCCACTTCTGTACAGTTTATAACTTTG